ACCACCACATGACAGCTAACATACAATATTCAATATTCGTATGGTATAGCTGTAAACCAGAACGTTGAATTGAGTATACCATTCACACATCTGATTTCACTAACACCAATGTCAGAGAGTAAATAATATAACTCAGTTATGTGTATATTTCGTTGTTTACCATAAACTGTATTGGTGTGTGGTAGTGTGTTTTCTTGTCATGATTTCACTATCTGACATTTATATATAATTTAGGGTGAACAATGTAGGCTTGAATAGTTATGTGAGCATACCATTTTATATGCACGTTAAATTCTGTACTAGTTAGTTATGAGTATTCTAATTACCAGGTGTACAAACAAAATATGTATGGCAAACACTACGCATGGATTATACTTGGCTGGTATAGTCATGATTGGTGGAAGGTGGCTGATCCAAATATTGACTGCACTCCCGAACAGTTGTATACGGCTCTGGATGGTTACATAGCGACTGAAAACATAGACTTGAGTATTTATAGGGACAGGAAAACAGTGTCTGGATACGTAAGTACTGCTGTCTTCATCATCCAAACGTTGTGTCACTGACATATAGTAGTCTGCCACAGTTATTTTGGTCCCAGAAATACTTCCGGTGTCGACATAATTATGCAAATCAATCACGTGTTAAGACTTAGATCGTGAAAATAGAAAATATTAAACAGTTGCGATGTACTTCAGTAAATTTTATTATCTGCTACATTACTTGAAAGTCGTTAGCATATGTAGTGAAATGCAATGAATCGTACACAGCAGTCACATGTACGCGAGTTATGCATTTTACAACGTGATTGGTTGACGTGATTGGTTGACGTGATTGGTTGACGTGATTGGTTGATTTAGCGTATCTGCAACAACAATACATTCCGCCATGCAACGCTTTCTCGATTCCAATGATATGTGAAATGCTCCATGCTTGGAAGCAGTGGTAACACATATAAAGAGTTGTCACCAATTTACAATGAATGCTTTATCGAATTTTGCTTTATTTAGAAAAATATATTCGTATTGAACTATCAAGATTCCGCTTGATTCTACGTGGTCCCGTCCACCTATGGTGAACACTCAATCACAACTAAATCTACGGAAATACTTGAATACGTGGTAAATTTTTACTATTTGTAATCAATCTTGAAAAAACTGTAATTATAGCAGTTGGTATATGGAATATACCTTGTAAGTCAAACTCTAAAAACATATATCCGATAATATACTATTAAAAATGAATTTGAATACAATACAGTGGTAGTCATTTATTGGCATACTAGCACATTGCAGTATTCAAATGAAAGCAACTGATATTTAGTATACAAATCTAGGGTTTGACCCAAGAATAAGACTTTGCTATAATTCTTTTACTGTTTGTTTGTGTTGAATATGCACTCAATTCACGACGATATTAACTATGCGACTCACTCCCACGGTACTGATAACATTGTGTTATAAGATAAGGGGTTATCATAGTTAATTTTTATGTTCCTAGAAGGCCCATTCCGCTTATCATTGGGAAGTCAAGCGCTCAGTAAAAACTGAGCATTAAAAGGGGTAATTATAAAATGTTTATATGAATTCATGAAACTAGTTCGTTTCGTGATTACAGTTCTTTTTTTGTTCGATCGGAGATTTTCTCTGAGTACGGAAATTAGAAATTGTCAAAAAAATCCTGAAATGTACGCAACGATGTAACACAAGTCGCTTTTATGTTATCTTCACAGTGTACGTGACAAGGGTTGTTAGCCCAGAAGTTCCAAAGGCCGCGCTCGGAAGTTTTCTTTTATTCAAAATAAAAATATAAAGGGGATATACTCGAGCTCATGCATGGCTAGATCGACTTCCCGACTTTCTCATGTATATATGTTAATGAAAAAAATTACATCACTTTTTTAGATTGTTAATCAATGAGTTTTAAATTTGCAAAGTGTACCACAAGTGTAACATACTAAAAACATCCAGCACATCTCAAAAATAAAATGACGCAAACAAATTCAAAGAAGACGTTTAGGTCAAAATCAAATTTCAGAATATTCACAAGCAAAAGTGAGATAACAAAGAAAATTGAAAACTAATCAGTGCAAAGAAAGGGCACTGAAATCAATATGAACCGCAGCTGGTGAAGGTGTGTGCAACCGGGAGATAATAATGTGATCTACCTTGTGTCTTCCGCTGACAAGAAAGTACACATTGCGTTTAAGTTGGACTCCTGATTTGTTTGATTCACAAGTTTACGCAATATAAAACGAACATGATAATAACAATATTAGTAATCGATTTGAAATTAACCTCTGTTCAACGCTGTACATGGGCAATGCAACTGCTTGCTAAATCGTTCACTCAATATGTGTAAACTGACACAACCTCTAATACGTATTGAAGGGCTCTGTTGTCTCCTAGCAACATCCAGCAAATGATATGGTACTGATATATCATACTATATACATAATTATTTTATAAACGGCGATTTATGATTCATCAATGTGACCTCTTAGTGGCAAGCATATGGGTGTGATTTGCATAAACTGTTGTGATTTTTTCCATTTCAAATATGGGAGATGACGATACTTGTTATGTGTTTCGTCAAAATCGACGAGTATTGTTATCTCTTACGTTTGAGAACACAGGGACATTAGTTTTCAATCTTGCGAAATTTCACCCACCTACTGTGTGGTCACGTGACATATATGCAGTGAAATATCCCACGTTTTGACATTTAGAATGTAGTATTGTCCGTCACGTAATGTTTTTTTTCTCGTATTATTCAAGTTTTCCCGAACTGTATGCATACCATGTCTACTTATAAAATCTTATTCTGGTCACTGTATTGTTTATAGACCCCGAATGAGTTTCAGTTGTTATACGAAGATGTGTTGAAAGAAAGGAATATATACGATAGTGTCAATGCTGGCGCTTCATATTGCTACGATGCTGTGTGGAGTATAGCATTGACTCTCAACCAATCAATAGATATACTACAAAATGGTAAGATTAAACGTATCAAGGAATTACTGAATAATATGAACATATTATGACTACAAACGAGAAAAGATGTGCAACCCCAGGGAAGGGTCTCCAAATGAAATATGGTACGCAAGCTGAAGTAAAAAAAATAAACGTAAAACGTGTTATTTAGTCGTTTGACGCGTACACGCGTGTAGCGTGTTTAGGGTCGAATATTTTAGATGTAACATAGAATATAGCAATAAAGTGTGAAAAAAGGAATCTTATGAATTCATATTACGTCAACTTGGAATCAGTATGATTTTAGTATGTATATAGGGTTTCTATTTTAAATATCTGCGCTTGAAAAGGGGTATAATTTCACACAAATAAGTATGTGTTTAGAGGATTTTTTGAAAAGCTATACTTTAGCATGGGTACTAGGTCTGACTTGGAATACCGCCCCTGGGTGTGTAACAATAAGGCTTGGAATACCGCCCCTGGATGTGTAACAATAAGGCTTGGAATACCGCCCCTGGGTGTGTAACAATAAGGCTTGGAATACCGCCCCTGGGTGTGTAACAATAAGGCTTTCACAACACAATATGTACTAACGTTATATCGATCGCATCAAGCATACTCTCATTCTCTTCAATGCCCGAAATGCCAACCAAACACATTTCCCACAATTAGGTTACTTTGCATTCCCTTAGAAGCATATACTCATGACATATAACATATAATTCATTCTATCCTTCCTATAGTAGAAAGTTTCCAGTGATATAATATAGCTTTTGTCTAACATAAATCAACAATATTTATATGTGCGTAATAAAATTACCAAAGAAGTGTATTTTATAATGTTCTACATCAGATGCGAACACCACAAATCGCCGGTTAGAAGACTTTCACTATGAAGATAACAGCATGAGAAAGGTCTTCATGGATGTGTTAGAAAATCTCAATTTTGAAGGAGTATCTGTGAGTATGATTTACAATATGCCAACACGTTTCTGTGCGTGTGTGGTGCCTGCTGTCTGTCTTATTTAGACGTTATAAACGGTACCGAGGTTATTTTGTATTTGCAGTGTATTTTTACCAGTGAGCCTTGCTAATTTCCCGAAAAACCAAATACCCGAGCGTACCGTTCATTACCTCACTATAATATGAGGGCATGTTGGGCATTCTAATACATTTTCTAATGATAAATTTTCTCCTCGTGTGGTGCACAATAGAGTTATCTTTTATAATATTAATGTTTTGATGTCGACGTTATTTATCTACTTTCAATTATAAAACATATGTTTTTGAAATCGATATTAATGATTATTGTTTAAAACTGCGATTCCATGCATGTTTGCCAACATATTTACTACATTGCTATGAAGACAAACTCACGTTGGTTCACTACGACAATGTAGAGGTCAATGCGCGGTGTTACAGTGTAGGTACCAGTCATCTAATTATCACCGGGTATTGATCAGAAATGTGAAAGTGAGCACTTAGAAAAAAGGGATGCCTATATAGCAATAGGATATGGGTGTACCACCAGCATTCACCTTCGAAGCTAAAAAACAAAATTGGATACCTTAGATACAGCTTAGAGCACGCCTTCTGTTTTCCTCATCAGAATGGTTATGTTCTATTGATTGTTTTCAGCTTATTATTTTTTTTCGCTGCTGTTTACCTTATTTCCTATTACATTGCCAGGGACCAGTGAGTTTTAACCCAAGTGGAGATAGAGAAGGCCTGGTAAATATTGAACAGTTACAAGGTAATGTCATCGACAAGCGAGATTTGAATATTAATTACATTACTCATGTGTAATATATAACATGAACATTCCTTCTAATTGATATAATCTATTATATTAAACCCAATATCCCATGTGTCTGTTTCGAAGCTTTTATTAAATAAATAATTAGATAAATCAGCCGATAAAGCAGTTGGAATCGTAAACTGTGTGCGCGTCTCAAGCTTCTTATTCCTTGAACACAGGCTTCTTATTCCTTGAACACGGATTGTCTAGAGTTCATCGACACCGATAAATGACTTTGTTGATTTCGTAGGATATAACAAGATTTAAAGTTACATTAATATTCTCCTTAACTTTGAATATTTACATTTCGAATTGCAGACAAACGCATGCAGTGCAGTTTTGGTAAAATTAAAAACTTTCAAATACTGTATTGCGATTAGAACATACTTAGGGGAAACTATCGGTATACAGTGGAACCATAAAAATTTATCATAAACACTTATTTGAAAAGAAATATTTTCAACAAATGAACCACGTTTTTACATTTTTCTAGATGACGTCACGATTTAAAATTGCGCACAGCGACTAGTTGATAACGAGCATGTGTAATTGGCATGGTACATGTGATGAATTATTATATGACCTATGATATATTATTTATATTTGACGGACGTAATATTTATAACAATAAAATGACCTAATTAACGTGCTGTGCTGAACGAGCATAAATATATATTTATAAATTCAAAATTGAAACTGAAACATAGTTTCAATTGGCCGAAGGAATAACATTGGAAGATTTCCATTAACGTCCAATGAACCCACTGATTGGCTGGATGGATTCAACTGCCATTGACATTTGAGAACATTTTTAAAAAATGAAGCGATTGTGGTCGTGATAATAATGTTATTTTATTTTAAATGTAATTGTTTGATATTTCCCCCAGATGGTAAAGAAGTAGTTGTTGGCGTATACTTTCCACAAGTAGAAAGTCTAGACGAACAGCTACGATGGGATATGGGTGACAAAGCAGTGCAGTGGAAAGGTGGGTTACTGCAGAGTCATTGGGTAACAATCCAGTGCAGTCCAGTGGAAAGGTGGGCTACTGTGGGGGCATTGAGTAACAGTGCAGTAGAAAGGTAGGTTACAGTGGGGTTATTAGGTAACAGTGCATAGGAAAGGTGGGCTACTGCGGAGACATTGGGAAACAATCCAGTGCAGTGAAGTAGAGTGGTAGGCTACTGTGGAGACATTGGGAAACAATCCAGTGCAGTGCATAGGAAAGGTGGGCTACTGCGGAGACATTGGGAAACAATCCAGTGCAGTGAAGTAGAAAGGTAGGCTACTGTGGAGACATTGGAAAACAGTGCAGTGCAGTGGTAAATTGGGTCACTATGGGACATTGGCTAGCAGTGCATATGAAAGGTAAGCTAATGTAGGGTCATTAGATAACAAAGCGGTGTAGTGGTAAGGTGGGCTACTATGGGGACATTGAGTAACAATACAGTGCGTTTAACTATACTAAATACTTGCTATTTTCTATCTGCTATCTGCTATTTCCATCTGTAAGCTGATATCATACACGTAGGAGATTACTTAACCCGTTGATAAGGGGCGCCAACGCATATGTTGTAATGTCGAATTCTGAAGATACGCGAAGCCCCTTCCCACAAACACAAACACAATATATTTGGCACTGACTATCCGGTGAGTTGTAATGAAGAAGAATGTCCTTTGGAAGAAAAATATTATGTCGTTTGTGTGTTTCTTTTTGAAACTAAACTTGTTGTCAGATACGAACGCTTTACATTAGCAAGAATATTGTGTTCCAAAACTTCAGTTGTGATTGCGATTTTGCGATAATTGTCAATTTCCCGTCACGTCGCCACTTTTACAGATTTAATATATCCCGAGTCATCATATCGCTTTAATACAGCTATAGTCTACGTTTGGTTCACCTCAAACCGCACGTCATATGTATGAGAAATCAACAAGGCTATGAATGACATGTGAGCATTATAATTTACAGGTGGTGAACCTCCAAAAGATGAAACTGACGTCATCATGGAATATCAACGTATACCTAAACTATACGTCACGATTTTCTCCTTATTGACTGGTGTTGGCGTGCTGCTGTCGGGTGGTTTGCTCGTTTTTACCATTGTTTACTGGAGAAGAACGTAAGTTGAATGTCTGTGGAGTAGAGAAGTAACGCCCGAATTAATGGAAATAATAGTAGAGCTATATACTGTAATACACTACAACAATAACTATTCCATATCTCTGAGGAAATAACCGACACTGTTTTTTTAAATCGTCATTTGATTAGACTAAACTGTGCTAACATTTAAAAATGAAATTTATTCTGATTTGTTATCAGTTAAAGTGTGTTTATTCTCCATCGAATCAAGGTGGAAATATGAAATTATGATTTGTCGTTTCTCAATCAATGTTGTTATATTTTACATGCATCCTTTAATCTCGGTATTTGAGAGTTGAAACATGTTCTTAATATAATATAATAATATAATATAATAACTTATACACTTTATATATCGTTGGATTAAATAATCATGGTACTCCATTTACGGGTTATTGTTAATTCTTCCTGTGTACAGATGTATCTATAAAGCGGCACCAGTGTTCCTCGTGGCGATGATTAGTGGCATTATACTTTTATACGTGTCTATAATACTGCTTGGATTGGATGCTAATATAGTTGGACAAAATCATCTTTCTCTTGTTTGCACAGTAAGTATATTCAGCTTGTACAGCCAATCATTTCCGGGTTTCTGGTAACAGGCATATTTTATTACAAGTGAACCAGCTCAATGCATTCGTATACTTTTGCACTTGTATTTTGTTTGTAACATTTGACGTATGAAGTAGTATGTGTCGTATACTAAATGCAACAACTACAGTATTTGCAAAGTATCGAGGTCGGTAATTGTTAGTAAACAACTGAATGCTGAGCATTTATGTAAGGGTATCAATAATACGTCCATACACTCACATGCGAAACTGGCGTCTCTGATGCGGTCTGCTTAATTATTCAAATTTCAGTAAAAAACGAGTCGAGATATTTGTTTGAAGAACAGTTATTTCTTAAGGTATAGAGTAGATAATATTTGGTAATCCTTGTCTTAACTGATCAAAATAATTCGACGTATTGAGCAATGACAATTTGTAAACGTGTAGGTAGACCACAGGAGCATGCACAATATCTATAAATTGGAATCAATAAAAGTTTACACAACAAAACATGTATTCACTCCATAAAAAGTCATGACATTTTCTTTCTAAATGTATACATGTTACACGAGATTATATTGTTCGAAAGCAAGATTCGAAACTGTGTTCAGGCATTCCAGATAAAAAAGGAAACTCAAACACCGTGACTACTGACTATAATTCGTAGTTCATTTTACTACATATGTTAAAGACATTTTAATAAGTTCAACTGACAATACAAATTTAACAAAATACCTGAATTTTTGCCTGGGCACATAATTAAGGTATTGCCAAAGACGCGTGGTTTACATGTAGGTTAATGTAGTATATATATAATACATAATAGAACTACATACTTAGAATATAAGTTGTATGGACGCTCCCCGTTTGTATCGGTGGATGTATCTCAGAGCGTTATTGGATTAATGAGCTAATGCCATGGCAACCTCATTTCAAACTTGTCTACTGGAAAACACTATGACAGTATATTCATATCAAGGTACAACGTCCATTCAATCTTTGTAGGGTTTCTTTTTGATACAATGATTTATGTTTTTAGACAGGTTCTCATTCAGTCGTACGAATTGTACTCAGCTTATACATATAACGTGCTTAAAAGTCCTTGATATTATGGTATCTACAAAACACACATTACATTATACAACTATTGCGAAACAAGAACATAAACAAATCTTAAGTGGTATGTTTTGTTTGGCAGATTCGAGCATGGACGTTATCTGTTGGTTTCACGTTGTCCTATGGAAGTATATTTTCAAAGGTTTACAGATGTCACAAGTTATTTACTACCAAGGTGAACCTATGGAAACCAGTAAGTACCTTACCTTATGCCACAGTTGTGTTACCACTAATCTAAGAGCAATGCACATATTTTAAAATGTAAATGAGTATTTTATTCAAACTTATTGTTTTATGTTCCACATTTGTCGGGAGACACTGCAAAATAAACACCAAGTCCGAGAATCCCAAATATTACAGAAAGGGGTGTAACTTCCGGGGAATTTTAATTACACTAATAAACAAGATCAAGTTCAGTGATAGATTCCAGATTTAACAGTAATTTGCATATCCTGTCTTGTGTAATCTAACTATCTGACGTTAGTGTATTTATAGTCTTATATTTTACTGAATAAAACAGTTATTGTATGGTCGTAGTCTTGTCTATGACACCTTATCACTGCCTCGTTGCATAGTTATTTCCGAGCTACAGAATCTCTTCTGCCCTACTCCCACAACATTGTCTGTCTACTAAGCTGTACTTGTTGTTCTTGTCAGTCTTGTATGTTGTGTTCGTGTGAATACTATTAGAATATCGTGAATGTGTTATTATGTCCCTTTTATGACTATAAGTTGTCAGTGTAATATTTCTGACAATTCTACGTTCAATTTCCCTCACAGCATCGATCCTTAGAAATGGACTATGGGTTCGTTGTGCGGTTTTGGATTAAACTACTAGTATGGTGTTATTCTTTTTACAGGGCCCACATACTGTGCCCATACTTAGATATCTGATGGTATTTCTAATTCTCGATCTGGTTACTTTAATTGTATGGAGTTGGAAGTTCCCAATGGAGCTGACCATTGACAGTCTCACCCCCCTAGTAAGTATCGATATCACACACACCACTTGTAGTGAAATAAACCTTGATCTGTTTAATGGTGGACAACGGCATGATGTCGTCAGCAACAATTATATTATTCCAGGTCAATTCAATATGATACTTTTTTAATAATAATAATTTATGTTATTCAAAATGGGAAACGTAGTGACCATAAAGAACGAGAATAAAAATTAATATTAATGCTGGCTGTGACGTATAGGAAATGATGCGTTAAGATACAGATGGAGCATCACACATTAGCTGTGTAATTTATCGTAAAAATTCTTGATTTGTTTAGATTGATGAAGATAAGAATGTGGAGGTAATCCCATTAATCGAGTATTGTACTAAAGGTAACTCCATGTATTTCATCGCTGCGTTAATGATTTTCCACGGACTGCAATTACTGCTAGGTAAGAACAATTGCAGATCAATGGTTATTGTGTTACTGATTGTGTGAAATGTTCACAGAGTTTCATTCATTCAAAGACAAAGACATCCCCGGAAAACACAATCTGATATATGATATTTACGTTTTATTGTGACTAGATTATTTGTATACATTTGTTCACACAAAATTCGACAATACATACACATTGGGTATATGAATAGTGAATTCTGAATATCTGTTCTCCACTTGTTTTATAATCTCGTTTTTGTTCATATTATATTGTGTTCTATTATGTTTTGCACTACAAATAACAATTTGACTTACAGGGTGCATAGGTCGATGATTTCGAAGTAGTCTTTTCTGTTACATGATAATGTCACCTTTGGTAGTGATTCTATTACAATTCATTTACACATTTAAAAGCTTAAATAAATATATTAGCTCATAACATGATACTTCCTACTTCATTGAGGAATCTTAACTTTCTAATTGTTTAATTCCACTATGTTTGGAGACAGAACTATAACTATAGTATTTGCTAATATCTAATATGTTCTAACAATAATATTTTTTACTGCTTTGAGAACAGGAAATGTTGATGATGACACATTTCCCTCATGTCGCCGCAGTTTGTTTTTTTTTTCGTTGGCTTGTAATTTTTACCTCAAAATTTTGTAATGTTTCCTCCTACTACAATAATCTCCATTGTGTTCCGAGATAGACAAGTACCAACTTCATAGTCACAGACAGACAAGATTAAACATAGCTAATCTCAATTATTCAGAGAATATATTCTGAGATAAACAACTCTAATTTCGCTGATCTCCAATATATGTATTATTCCCACAGGCGCATTTCTGTCATATGAAACACGTGATATAAAGATACGGACTCTCAATGATATATTTTTCAATGGCGTTGCTACCTACGTAATTGTTACACTCAGTATCATATGCGCCCCATTGTCTTTCATTATTTACAAGCCGGACGTGGCTTATCTAATCGTGGCATCACTTGTGTGGACCGCTTGTACTCTAACGCTTCTCTTCATCTACATACCAAAGGTAAGTCTGGTGTACAATGCGTTCTTAAACCATGTGGCTCTGTGTGTATAAAAAGGAAGACAGGCCGCCAGATTTCCATGTGCTGTACATCGTTTCATGGCGATTAATCTTCTCGACAATCAGAATGGGAGTACGGCATTTATAAGAATATATAAGAAATGCTATTGTGGTGTTAGTTTACAAGTTGTGTGACGTCCAGAAAGCAGCATCTTTAAAACATTCGTTATAAGTGCCCAAAATGACTGTCACTATTTATGCAAAATAAATAATGTTTGTTCTATGTGTGTAAGTATAATGATGTAAGTGATGTTCTGAACTGTTTGTCAAACTTTAGTAACAACCGTGGACAAATATATTATGTGCACAACATTCCTGTTTCACGACGCGGGTTTCAGAAACATTATCTTTTGCAACGGAATGAAATACCCTTATAACCCTAGCAATACTGTTACTCTGTTAGTTCACATGTATAGTTTTTCACTACATGTATTACAATTGACTATGAGCGAAATAAACCTACAAAAACTGTATTCAATAGATTCATTTACTTTCTCGTGTCTCGAACAAAGCTTGTCGATAATTCATAATAGTAAAGCGTAATATGTGAGAGATTAACACCCGCAGTTGAAATGATAACAGCTGTGTATCAACTAAACAACGAACCATGCCAAATTTATATTTCTCGTGGTACACCGAGACCAAAGAGCCGCGGTTTAACGATTTGAGACAGTTTCACTAAATGCTTTGAGTCATTTGAAAGAAGTGAAGGAATGTGGATGTAAAATCGAAAACATTGTATTTGAGGGGTGGGTGTTGAGTAGATTTCATTAATACCAATTGGCATAAGCCTTGCCAATGTAAACAGAAGTCGGTCTAAATGTGCGAGTTGAGCACAAATGCTGTCAGTCAGCCATTTTCACACCATGACATCGGTCTGAGAAATCCAATTAATGTTGAGCTGTGTTTAATACTTTTTATGACAAAAATGTAAAAGACACTCAAATGTGTTCATTCCCATTCATAATGATTCTACGTGTATATCTATACAACGTGTGTCTTTGTGTCATCCTATTACATCAGGTGGATGCACAGACTTTTTACTGTTCAAGTACTGGTAATTTACGTACTTATTGAATGAATACCGTCTAATCTGTTTCAGATCATTTATGTCTGGGGTACTTGCAAGGTACGTCGGAATTCTATAAGCAAAACAGATGAACAGCTATATGAGGAAGAAGTCGACGAAGAAACAAAATTACGTCATAAACTAGAGGAGGTAAGTACGCCATCCCTTAATATGGTAGGTGAAATGTTAATATAATAGTTGGTTATGAATAGACACGGCTATATGTCCATGTTCTAAATAGGGAGGTAGGCTATAATAGCAATACATAGTGATAATTTCGATTATCATCTGTTCATGTTACCAACAAATTAAAAGTATTTTTTTCCCAAGAAAACCAGGATTATGTTGAGGTGCATTTAAAGTCGGGCTTACTAATAATAATTTTTAATAATTTTATTAACACTTACACATTCCCCGGAGGGATTGGCAATGGTTACAAAAGTTTAAAAAGGAATAAAAGGTTACAAAACAGAAAATAGATAAGAAAAAAACAAAACAAAACAATCTAAGCTAATACATTACAGATAACATTACAGATTACTATATAGTGATACTACTTCACTAATATTTATATATTCATATACAGGAACGAGAATTAGAAATATACATTGTATGTTGAATATAATTATGTATGTACGAGATCAAGGCTGACACCTTTTGCATTTCATTCATGATACATATGTTTTCTGTGCAAGCATTTACAAATCGGTGTGACTAAAGAATCCAAACTAAACTGTTCTGTACAACATGTGGAGTATCAGGGGTAAATTCTTCTCTTCGGGGTTCTCCACACTTGTCAGAGGGGAATCTCGTCTCGTCTCTATATCGCGTCCCCTCGAGGTGCGGGATCGGGAAAGTCATATGATACATATGTTTTCTGTGCAAGCATTTACAAATCGGTGTGACTAAAGAATCCAAACTAAACTGTTCTGTACAACATGTGGAGTATCAGGGGTAAATTCTTCTCTTCGGGGTTCTCCACACTTGTCAGAGGGGAATCTCGTCTCGTCTCTATATCGCGTCCCCTCGAGGTGCGGGATCGGGAAAGTCACTTAACTTTACAGTCAAATAAAACACACACAACGAAATACGTTTCAACTCTCGTCTTAGTCGGTCTGTGGAGCACTCTATAAGACACAGCACCCTGGGGGAAAAGTCCCCAAGACTATCGCAAGGCTGACTCAAGACTCTCTTAGACTGCGTCAACACTCGCCCCAAGGCTCTCC